CGGGGGGGGGTCGGGGGGGATCTCCTGTTCCAGAGAAGCCTGAACTATATAAGGAGACCCTGTCTCAAAAACCAAACAAGAAAGTGGGGAGATAGTTTAGGAGGGAGAGTACTTGCCACAGAAGCATGAGGACCTGAGTTCAATCCCCGGCACCCACGTGAAAACCAGCGCCCACATAAAAAGTTGGATTATAGGGGCTGGAGAGATGACTCAGCAGTTAAGAACACTGGTTATTCTTGCAGAAGACCTGAGTTCGAATCCCAGCACCCACATGGCAGCTAACAACTGTCTGTAACTCCGATTCCAGGGGGTCTGACAGCCTCTTCTGTCTTCCTCAGGCATCGTATGACATGGGTGCACTTACCTACATGCAGGCAGTACACGCATACACATAAAATAAAAAATAATTATATATATATAGATATATATATATTTTTTTCTTTTTGAGAGAGGGTCTCCCTGTAGCCCCAGCTGTCCTGGAACTCACTATGTAGACCAGGCTGGCCTTGAACTCACAGAGATCCACCTGCCCCGCCTCCCAAGTGCTGGGACTAAAGGTGTGCGCCACCACGCCCCAAAATATATTTTTTTAAAGTTGGATTATGGCACATATTCGCAATCCCAGCAGTGGGAGGGACAAAGACAGGAGGATCCTGGGCTCAATCTAACTGAATCAGAGCCCAAGTCCCACTGAGACCGACACAAAAAATATGGTGGATGGGGAGAGTGGGTTGGCTCAGTGAGTAGAGATGTTTTCACCAGGCCTGACACATACACACAAAACAAACAAATAAATAAATGTAATTTTAAAAATAGGTAGATGGATCCTGAGGAATGACACCTGAGGTTGACCTTGGGCCTCCACACACATGTGCTCCCACACATAGAAATAAAATAAACTGGGCATGGTGGCACACACCTTTAATCCCAGCATTTGGGAGGCAGAGACAGGCAGATCTCAGTGAGGTTGAGGCCAACCTGGTCTACATAGTGAGTTCCAGGCCAGCTGGGGCTACAGGGAAACCCTGTCTCAAAAAGACAAATAAATCAATAAAACAAAATTAAGTTAAAATAAAATAAAATAAAAGCTGGCTGTGGTAGTACATACTTGTAATCCCAGCATTCTGGAAGCTGAGGAGGAAGACTGCTTTGAGTTCCAGCTCACCTGGGCTACAGTGTGAGATCTGATCTCAAAAAACATTTTTTAATCATACAAAGGTGAAAAGAATCTGAGGATGGTGTTATGGCACCATAGCATTTTGAACTATTATTCCAAGTAACAAAGGTAACAAGACAATTATAAAATTCTTTTTTGTTGTTCGTTTTGCTTTTTAGACAAAAGCAAGGTCTACACATTCTCCCTAGGTAGCCCAGGCTGGCTTCAAACTTGCAGTTCTCCTTCCTACCTCTCCCTTCCAAATGCTAGGATTATAGGTATGCACCACCAAGCCCAGCTTTGACAAATTATAAAATTATTTTTATTTTTAAGTGTATTTATTTTATTGGGGGGGATGCACCACAGTGTGATGTGTGTGTGTGTGTGTGTGTGTGTGTGTGTGTGTGTGTGTATGTCAGAGAACAGCTTTCAGGAGTTGATTCTCTCCTCCTGGGGATTGAACTCAGGTCATCTGATTTGGCAGCAAGCCCTCTTACTTACTGGGCCATCTCACAATAAAATTATCATTTGCTAAGTGCCAGGCTTAAAAGAAAGATGATTCAAGGCATGGTGGCTCACACCCGTAATCCCAGCACTCAAGAGGCAGAAGCTGGAGGATTGCTATGAGTTCTAGGCCAGCTTGGGTTCCTGTCTCGATAACAAATCAGGGATCGAGAGAAGTGGCTCAGCCATTAAGAGCACCTGTGCCAGGGGGTTCACAACCACCTGTAACTCCAGCTCCAGTGATATGATGTGCAGTGGCCTCCATGGACACCCATACTCATGTGCATATAACCACACATAGAAACGTTCACATATACATAATTTTAAAAATAATGATTAATGGGACTGGAGAGATGGCTCAGCAGTTAAAGAGTACTGACTGCTCATGCAGAGGACCTGAATTCAGTTCCCAACACACAAATGGCAGCTAACAATTATCTGTAACTTCAATTCCAGGGGATATGACACCCTTTTCTGACCTCAGTAGGCATTGCATGACACAGGTGTGCTTACATACATGCAGGCAAGACACCCTTACAAAAATTAAAAGAAATAAAATTTTAATGATTAAAAAATAT